TGCCTTCCAATCCTGGCCCAGTTTCCTCTCAGTCGTTCTTGGTCCAAGTACTGTTGAGAATATTCCTAGGTAGGCTTTGTTTTTATGCGATCTGGCTTCCTATTTGGCTTAATTGGGCACTTTTAAATTCTGCAAATTCTAAATCCTCATTGCTGTGGCCCCAAGGGACAGTCCTCTGCCTCAGGCGGTTGGGGAGGGCCCTGTGGGGCTTCTAGCCTCCCCCCACGGGCCCGGAGCCTCAGCCCTATCCCCGGGATTGCGGGGGTGCCAGCTCCAGGTGCAGCTTCAGGAAAGGCAGCTTTCCTTCCCTGCAAGGGGAGAAGTGAATTTCGGCACCTTGTGGTGTGCCTGCTGCTGCGGAGCCGCTGATTGATCCGGGCGGCTGCCGCATTGCTTCGTTTTTTGTTTCGCTGCGAGAGGAGGTTTGGGGGCGAGGAGTGCGTGCCGGTGTGCTGCGTGGCTCCCTCCGTCGTTATTTGGAGTGGCGTCGGCTGCTGGAAACCATGCTGAGCCCGTGTGTGTTTGTTTTCGACCTTTTCACCTCCACACGGCGTTCCGGTGGCCATTTTGGCTGCCGCCACGTGCGCAAGGCCTTTGCCTCGTTTTGCAGCCGTTTGGGAGCCTGTAGGTGTGTTTAGAAAGGAATGTTTTATTATTTTGCAAGTGTCTACACAATGAATGACAATACTTCTAAAGTGGTACTGTGTCTTCCCAGATCAGCAACCGTGTCCTTTACGTGTTTTTCACTCATGTACAAGAATTCTTTGGAAATGTGGTCCTCAAGCCAGTAACAAAGCCTCTTCGTTGGTCTAACATGGCAACCATGCCAGCATTGCCAGAAACACAGGAAAGCATTAAAGAAGAGATCCGAAGACAGGTTGGTCGTCTTTGAATGATTAGAACTTTCTAGAAGTTTGATTGAGGGAATTATTTTCAATCTTTTTATCACTGATATATGTCTCTTGTAATTGAGCAAAGTGCTAGATTTATTGTATGATGGTGAAGAATAAAACAACTTCCAGCTTTTAGATTTAAGAGAAGAGCTTACACTTATAATTTAGGTAGCCTGGACATTATAGGTTAAGGCTTGAATATATAATTTTCTCTTACATACAGTCTTCATTTAAGATTTAATTCTCCCTTGTTCGTGTAGTACCTTGATTTTTTTCAACCAAGGTTGTATTCTTTTTTAGATTGAGGTAAAATCTCACAATGTTGCAACAAATGGCCTAATTTTCAGATTTGGGGTCTAATTAAAATATGATATATATGAACTCCCTCAGTACCTTCAACAATAGACAGAAATTGATCTTCTGGAAATTTGACTTGCTAACTTAAATTGACATATTCCATTTGTGGAAAAATAGTTAGAACTCACTTACCAACTGCCTTGCACAGTGGCTGTTCATAGTTACAATAGTGCTAAAAAATAACTTCATGATCCAGGCATGTATTTTTACAACCTTCACAATCACGTGTTGCCGTTACAATTGGTTAGTACACATCCTGTGCTGACCTGTTTTTATTTATTTATTTATTGTTTTTTTCTCCCCTCACAGAGCAGAGATATTGGACAGGAAAGGATTATAAGAGAGTAAGCAGGCACATGATTAGAATACCATTGGAAGGAATGTGCTAGAACTGACTATTTAACTAACCCCTGAGTATGCTAAGTGGTAGTGCAATCCTTTTGATTATATTGTGTGCCAACTTACAATACTTTCTCTCCAGTGAATGTTTAACTCCCTTCTTGCAATCACCAGCGCCATAGTGAACATTCCAAAGAGAGGGGGGGGAAAGGAAAGCTGATATAAAATCATAAGCATAACCACAGTCATGTGTGTCCATTTAGCAACCAGGTTGCTGTCACAGTAATGGTAGCTAAATAAGGACTATCTGCATATTTAATAATGTGTTTGTTTTTTTAAAAATAGGAGTTTCTTTTGAACTGTTTGCACCGAGATCTTCAGGTAGGGATTAAAGATTTATCCAAAGAAGAAAGATTATGGGAAGTGCAGAGGATTTTGACAGCTCTGAAAAGGAAGCTAAGAGAAGCTAAAAGACAAGTAAGTTGTGCTTTTCTGTTATTAAATCATGTGGATGGAATGTTGACTGTTTAGTTAACATTAGTATAGTTAAAATATCTGACCCTGGCAAGATAAATAGAACCCTTAAGTTTTCCTTTATTTTTTTCTTGAGTGCAGTGCAGAATTATGGGGCTTTTGATAGTTTTAATCCCACTTATTCTTTTATTAGATTCTTGGTTTCACTGGTGCTTTGATTCCATTGGATAAAAAATTGAAAAGGCACTTTATCAGGACTTCTGTGCTAGGACCTAAGTGATTCTACTATAATGTTCACATCATCTGTTGATACTATTTTTTTTTACAGTTTAGTTTCTGTTTAGAATAAATCTAACTGCACCATTGATTGTTTTTCCTATAAGTAGGCTTTAGATTTCTGGATGTAATTTCATTTTCAGAGTTTGATTGTTTTGATCTTGTATTTTATCAGGCATTGCCCAACTACTTAATTAAGTTATGTTCCAGCATGTAGGAATGTTTTATAATTGCTGTACTGCCTAAATCTGCTGATGATATGCCAACAAAAATGTATGGTCTATCAATTTTTGGAAAGTCAAAACAGCCAATCTCATTTGACTACCATCTGCCTTATAAAAATGAGTGATTAATTTGATCTGCGAATGGTGCTTTAGGAAGCTTGAGATAACGTATATAGTTTCCCAATATTGTTGTAGGTAAAATCCTGCAGAAGCTGCAGTTTAAATATTCTTGCATGTTAATGTATGATCCTTTGAATCGAGTTATTAGACAATTTTTTTTCAATGCAGGAATGTGAAACAAAGATTGCGCGAGAAATTGCTAGTCTTTCAAAGGAGGATGTTTCCAAAGAAGAAATGAATGAAAATGAAGAAGTTATAAATATTTTGCTGGCTCAGGTAGTATATGTTGTTTAAAGTATTTTTATTCTGAATGTTTAACCTATACACACTGTGAAAGTAAATTGGAGAGATTTGACTGAAGGAGATAATTTCTTCTTACAGATGTTGTATGTGTGTCTCTGTGAGTCAATCATAGATAGCTATCAAGTATAATGCCAATTAATATCCCGAGGGACTAAATGAAGTGCTTGGTGGTTGACACAGAAAGTAGCTGATCTGGAAAGTCTGGAATCAAGAGTTGAAAGCAGCAGCAGCATATGTGTTTCACCACTGACTTATAACTAAAAAAGCTTATTCTTGTATGTAAATCTGGATGATTGTCAATTCAGAATTTCAAGTCCCTTTGAAATAACAAATTGGTTGCACTGATTGAGCTACATATTGAATAGCATCTTACAATCTCTGCTAGTTCTTCACCACCCTGCAGCAAGCCCCTTCTATTTTTCTATTTTCCTTAATCTCCTATTCTTCCTGCTTTCCAAACCCAGTCCCTGAAATGCTGCACAATTCCTTCCCAGTTTTTCCAGATGTAATACGTGAAACTATGTCACAAACTTCATAATTTAGGATTCCTATGTATTTCAACTGCTCATAGACTGAGAGCTGCCAAGAGATATTTAGGAAATGAAAATAAAACTACATGAGACGAGCACTTGCACTACTGTGGTTTTCCAGAGGAAGGGAGGGAGTGGTCACATGTGGGTATTCTCAAAGCCTGATTGGTCCAAAGACTGAGAGCAAACTCTTAAATACTGGACTTCCAGTCCTAACCCAGTTTCCTCTCAGTCTTTCTTGGTCCAAGAACTGTTTGAGAATTATTCCATGGTAGGATTTCTATTTATTCCAATTTGGTCTCATTTGGTTTAATTGGGCATCTTAAAAAGGTTTTCTAAATTTCTAAATTCTGCAGCTGCGGCCCCAAGGGACGGTTTCTGCCCGGGGCAGTTGGGGAGGGCCCTGTGGGGCATTCTGTCTCCCCCCCCCCGCGGGCCCAGAGCCTCAGCCCTATCCCCGGGATTGCGGGGGTGCCAGCTCTTGATCCAGCTGCCTGAGCGGCAGCTTTATTGTTTAAACAGCCGGGAGACCAGCAGCAGTGGCACCACGAGGCGTACATGAGCCGCTTGTGGAGCCGCCGCTTGATT